ACGCCTCGGGGTGGAACACTTGGTCCCGTGGAAAGCCCTGGGCTGAAGGGCAGCGAGAGTGGGGGCCTGGCTCACCGGGGGGGCGACGTCGACCTGGACTCGGCGACACATCGCGGAGAGATCCGCACTGGGTCCCGATAGCGAAACCCTAGGATCCTGGGCGGCGCGAGCTATCAGGCTCCCGTCGGCGTGCTATGGGCGACCGAGGGTCGATGCATCCCCCCCGGAGCCTACCCCCTCCCAAATGTATCTTCGTCGCCTGGCTCGCGGGTCTCTGGCGGCCGTCGGGAACCATCCGGGCACCCCCGGACGCCTCGAGGACCCACGAAAGCATCCCCCCTGGGGCCCGAGACGAAGCACGGCGGCCACCCGATGTCTACAACCCCTTCGCCCTCATCTACCTCTTCCCGGGGACTTACAACGAGGCGTACTACGCGAAACGGGGCGGTGCGGAGGAGGAACGCTCAGTTCATGGACTCACGAGTCGGGCCCTACGGGGTCCCTGGAACTAGAAGCGGCTAACAGATGAACGAGGCCACCACACCGGTGGCATGGAGGGTGCGGCACCTGTTTCGTGGGGGCTGTGCTGCACCCGGCCCTGCGGGGCAAATTGACTACCCCATAGTTGGTCGCAAGAGTTCGACAAGGACTCCCAGTACCTGCATTACCTCTCAGTGCTCTGCGAGCTTTGCCGGTACGGGGAGACAGGCCAATCGACATCGTCATCGTAGTCGACCTGGCACTCGCCTGCCACTGAGGGCTTCCCTGAAGTTCCGAGCTGTTGTTCAGAATACACAGGGCCTGAATTGGCGACTCGTTTCACATCGTGATAAACTCACTACCTTGATCACAACAGCCAGGGAGCAGAACTGGGACTGCGCCTTCCTGGCGGAGATGCACGGGGAGGAGCCGTGCCGCGTGTACATTGAAGAGTACTTACTTCTATGTGCTGGGCGCGTCGGCATTTTGCTGGGACCGGCTGCCCGCTTATCCTTTGAGGCGGGAGGGTCCGAATGGCACTTCGTTGGTGACAGGATCGTGTTTGCCAAGCTGCTGACTGTGGATCAGGAGCTGCTGCACGCTGTGGGGGTCTACTTGCCGACGAATGCCAGTGCGAGCGAAATATCTACATGGCATCAGAGCTTCCTGGCATGCCACAAGCACCTGGAGGCCAAAGGAGGTATCCAGATCTGGGGGGGCGACTTCAACGCCCATCGAGGACAAGACTACATCTACGACTCCGTGCATTCTGGTCCTTATGCCCTTTCCACGCCGACAACGAGGACAGGGCGCAAGTTTCAGCAGACATTGGAAAAAACATCTTTGGCTCATGCTGATAGCTTTGTGTCACTCCGCCATCGTGGCATCCTACCAGTGAGCGATGGTACGAGATCGACGGTCTCTTGATTACACATACCCACCGGGCGGGGCTCCAGACCATCAAGAGGGTGACCAACAGATTTGTCTCCGATCATGTGGGCCGGTTGTACGTACTCCACTTGGGGACCACGGAGGGGCACAGGAAACGATACACACGCAAGGCAAACTTTCAAGCAATCGTATGTCAAAGGCGCAAAGAGCAAATGAAGCAAAACTAAAAGCTAAATGTATCTTTACTCCGAGGTGGCAGCCAAACAACACACATGAGAAGGCAGGTTCTGGGGCTTAAAGTTGAAAACGCTCTTCCTGATACTCTTCCTTCCAGTGGATCGTCGGCTTCTGCGGGGACACCAAATCCATGGGACGTTCTTCGTAATGCAATTACGTCGTCTGCGGAAGAGGTCCTGGGCCGAGATAAACAACAACCAGTTTTTGGAGCACCATATACGGAGGAGGACGCGGTCAAGATTGCGGGGCTACGGGAGGAGATGGAGAGGTCTTGGAGGAAGGTGGTGGGTTCTAGGCGTACACAACACGAGGCCCAAGCACGACAACAACACCGTCATGACAAACGTCGTTGGGAACATGCCAAAAGAAAGGCTAGGTCTCGTTATGTTCGTCTTCTTTGCAAGCAGATCACCGACTCCATGAACATGGGGGACATTCACACGTTTTACTCTCTGCTGCCGAAGCTGGGGGTCTACACGATCGGCCGGACAAGGCAAGGAGAAGAACCCCATACACTTGATGAAATTGCCCGGTTCTTGGAGCATCTCGGCTCTAACCCTGCAGAGGTCACCATGGAGACGTTGGAGAGAGGAGGCGCCGTGCACCCGACCGACTACTCACTGGACGTGCTCCCGGGGGCGGACGAGATTCTCGACAGCCTGCACAAGATGAAAGACAGCGCCGCCGGCTCCGACGAGATCACCGTGGGGCTTCTGAAGGTCTTGAAACAGAAGGGCCGGGACATGCTTGTCAAGGCGGTGCAGTACCTCTGGGAACTTACTCCAGCCAATTGGCCACCTGAGGTGGCCGACGTCCTGGGCTTTCGGATCTACAAAAAAGGGCCCCGGGACAACCTGGGGAACTACCACACGCTGTGGCTTATAAATGTAATCGTACGTATTATATGTAAAGTTATTGCAGGACGACTTCAAGAATATGCAGAACGAAAGACCTTTTTCCAGAAACTCAGTGGGGATTCCGTGGCGATCGCAGTACAATTGGGCCTCTTTTCATTGCAAGATGTATCATTGAAATGGCGGCCGAAATTGGGGAGATCGAAGCTCGTGCTCTGCCTGCCCTGATCATGGTTCTCCTCGACATTGAGAAGGCGTACCCCAGCGTACCCCGGCAAGCAGCAGATCAAGTTTTCGAGCGAGCCGGTATCCCAGAATCCCTTCGAGCAAAAATATTGGCCCTGCACGGGCACTGCAAGTACCAAGTTCGCACTTCTGAAGGATTATCGCGTCATTTTGCCCTCGACAAAGGCTTCCGGGAAGGTGATCCCAGCAGCCCAGTATGTTTCAACATTTACCACTCGAGCGTCATGTTCGACCTTCGGAACCAATTGTGGAACACCTTCCAGGAGCAGGTAGGTGCCGAGATTGGTTGGAGACCTGGACAGGTACTCGGAAAGCGACAACGAGGTGATCCTCTCCGTGGCGATTTTCACATTGAACGGCTCATGGATATATTGTTTGCGGATGACACAACGTTGTGGTGCCGAGGCGGGGTTCTATCTGAAGTGGAAAAACTCGCTCAAAAGGTTATGTGGGAATGGGGGGAAAAACTACACATGGGGAAACTTGAACGATTGGTGTTGAGCAAGCGAACATATTCTAAGAGTACCTGCAAACGTAGTAAACAAGCAGACGCTGGCAGTGTTCCTCTTCCTGCAGAGTACGCTGAAGCCGTCAAACTTTTGGGAGGGTGGCTGGAGAGCTCGGGGGCGCACAACGTGGACACAGGGAAGCGAATTACTGCTGCGCGCAAGATCTGGGGCAAAATCCTCAAACAGCTCCCACGTCTGGGCCTCTCAGACAAGGACCGCGGCACCGTGATCAAGGCGACCGTTGAGGCATGCCTCTACTATGGGATGGAGAGCCGTGCCGTCACGCGGCTTCAACTACAACAGCTCCAGAAATTCCAGAACCAGGTCATTCTGGGCTGCACGGGCACCAGGAAGAAGCACATGCACGAGATGCAGATCACACTCCAGGATCTTCGGAAACGGCTTGGGCTGCTACCAGTATCGGTCAACATTGCTCTTCGTCAACTTCGCTGGCTAGGACACGTCGCCCGGCTTCCCGGGGAACGCTGGGAGGTCAAGCTCCTGCGCGGGTGGCTACGACCAGAAGCTGCTTTCCCTAGGGCGAAAGGCTGCCGGCAAGGACTTCCACGACCGAATACCCGGCAGCAGCTATGGACGAGAATCAAGAATGTTATGAAGTACACGGACATCCCCAGCACAGATTGGCAAACACGTTGGATGGAAATTGCCCAGGACAGAAAACAATGGAAACATCTTATTGGAAAGTTTACCCGGGATGTTATTTCCAAGGCTTCGGAAGACGAGTGGGCCAAACGACATGGGGAAGGAGGGAAGGTGGAAAAACGTCAAGCACGTCGAGTTTTTCATCATGAACATACCAAAAACATCGTCATCAATGAGGAGGGAGTAGGAGTTTGTCCACATTGTAAAGATTTGTTCTCGCAGAGGGCCCTGGCACAACATGTCTCCGTCTGCTCCACGAAGACCCCGGACCAGAGGGAGTTGGCGAGCAGGCGGCGGCAGGAGAGGTTTCGCAGAGAATCGGCTCACGGACCTGCGAGTCGGCGCCGGAGAGAGGAGCTCGAGGCCATGCGTCTTACCAAGGCCCGGAAAGCTGGGCAGGCGGCACCTGGAGGAGGAGGAGGAGGAGGCGGAGGAGCTGAAGGGGGAGAACAAGACCGGAAAGCAACGCGTACTACTTTTTCGAAGGAGGACCTGCTCATCAAAAGAAGGGTATCCAAAAAGCGCCCGGTCCCTATCGCTTTTCAACATGTTCAATTTCGGCATCAAAAGCGTCCCCGGCAAAACCGTACTACTTTTGTACCTCTGGAGATCCCGCAGAGAGAGGAATCCGTGGCTACGAGGACACGGCTTCGAGGCAAGCGTCCGGCAAGACCGGCTACTTCTTCATCATCCACTGCCGCTGCTACTGCTGCCGCTCTTGCTGCAAAGACCAAGCCGATCCAGTTCCGTAGAGTAAGGGGGAAGGAGGAGTACAAACAGGTGGGAAGCACTACATATCGGGACATCACATGTATTCCTGCCCCTCTTCGTCCTCCTGGGTGGGAAAACACATCCATGTGCCCGTTCTGCAAAGAAGATTTTGGACAGGCGCAGAGGTGTTCACATCACATGAAAATTTGCCTTCATATGCCATACCAGATGTGGTTAGCTCGTACCAGATTCGTTGTGGAGACCCCGGCGGCGACAATCCCTTGCCCTCACTGCGGCACTTTGTTCACCACGGCGAAAGGGGCCTCTCGACACGCCAAAAGCTGTGCAGATCGACGTGTTATCCATGGACTTGCTTGCCATACACACGCACGTCATGTAACTGTAGCTAGTGAGGCTCAAATCGTTGAGAAGCAGTACCGTGGTGGAGCCATCTCCAGAAAGCGTCCGGCCGCCCACATATCTTCTTGAAGATGGACCGGCAGCAGCTGGAGCATGCTTTGTCGCAGGCCAGGGCCGCCGGCAATGGTGGTGGAGGTGCCGGAGGAGACCGTGGACGCGGAGCCGGTGGTCGTGGCCAGACTCCCCAGAACGATGACGCCAACCTGCTCACCATGATCGTCAGGGACCACCTGTACATCAGACAGGACATGGGGCCCGTTGCCGACAGAGTGCAGTTGGCAGTCTTGTTCAAGACCAACGAGGAGAGTGAAAAAATGACAGCTTGTGTGGAACAGTGGAAAGCAAAGCTCCCGGAGAACACCGGCCCGAAGGGCAAGAAGGCTCGCCAGGGCGATTCGGACGCGATGGCTACCGACAGTGGTGCTGCGGGCTCGGCGCCGGCGCAGGGTGGCACAAAGCATCCTTTCGGCCCGAAGAAGGTGTTCCTCCTCTTCACGTTGTTCGCGAGGCTCGAGGAGATCCTTCAGGCGGTGACTCCGGCAGAGGGCCAGCCATTGACCGATGGCCTGAAGCAGCAGGGCCTTGCCGTGCTCAAGGGCTTTAAAGACCTCGGCCAGACCAAGCTTGACACATACTTCACCGGCTTCTCCCCGAAGATTCCCACGATGAAGAAAGATTTTACTTGGCTGTGGGTGCTAACAATCAACCAGACTCTCATTCCGCCAGAGATCAAGAGCCACCTGGTGGACCTCATCTCGCTCACGGCGCTCAAAGAGTTTGGCATCAAGATTGAAGTGAAGCGCTCTGTGCAGGGCAAGCCGGAGGCGGACCTCTGGACAGCCCTCCGGGGGCGCCCTAGAGCGTGAGAAGGGCGAGAGCCGGGCCGGCCGCGGTGCTGAGGTCGAATACCGGCCTGGTGGGCACCACCAGCCCCCCTAAAAGCGGGGGGGGCTGGCACGAGTCTGGCATGGACACGGGCCGGCTGCCCGGTCCCGGGAGGCAGGGCAGCTGGCCATTTTTATTCTTTCTCGTGATGTGTATGGAGCTTTCTACCCAGAGGGTTGGCACAAATGTATCATCATGTTCTTCCTTGCCAAGGGTGTGGTTGGGGCCATGTTCTCCCTAGGAGCAATCCCCTCCATGCCGGACTACCTGCCCATCCTTGCTATGAAGTTGTCTGTTTGTCTTCTTCATTTGCTCTTTGAGGACCAAGGAGGACGACTTTGCCATGATCTTGCTTCTCTCGATCTTTTCCCCGGTCAAGTCGTGTGCTTCCCTCCTATCACATGTCTACAACCCGAAGGCGTCCGCGACGGTCTCGCCCGCCGAGGCCCCGCTCAGGAGCCGTCCGCCTGGCAGGGCCGCGTCGGCGCGGCCGAGCCCGGGGCCCAGCCTGCCCGCGCCCAGCTCGCCCGCCAGCCAGTCGCGCACGCCAGCGAGCGGCGCGCCGGGCGCCACCCGCACCCGGCAGCGCTCCACCCCGCCCAGGGTCAGGAAGCGCACCTCGCCAGGAAGGGAAGCAGGTCCTCCTGCTTTCCGCTGTGACTTTCGCCTCCCCAGGCCCTCCACGGGCCCCAGGGCTGTCAGAAAACGGCTCAGGATGAAAGTCTGGTCCACGGGGGACGGCCCTCGGGACCCGTTCCCTTCATGCCAAGCACCGCGCCGCCGTCGAGCGACGCCTGCAGGAGCAGCGTCGCGCCGACGAGCACGCGCGCCGTGTACGTCAGCGCTCCGTCCAGCGCCGGCACGTGGCACTGGCCGGCGCCATTCGCGCCGAAGGCCACGGCCGTGCCGTCGCTCCTGAGCAGCACCGTGTGGCGATATCCCGCGGCGACCTGCGTGTAGCTCAGGCCACCGTCCAGCGCCGGCACGCTGCACTGGCCGCGGTCATTCGCGCCGCAGGCCACGGCCGTGCCGTCGCTCCTGAGCAGCACCGTGTGGAGGTATCCCGCGGCGACCTGCGTGTAGCTCAGGCCACCGTCCAGCGCCGGCACGTTGCACTGGTCGTAGAGATTCGCGCCGAAGGCCACGGCCGTGCCGTCGCTCCTGAGCAGCACCGTGTGGCTGCCTCCCGCGGCGACCATCCGTGGGCGCGGTCGGGAGGCCCGCGAGGGCCCGCCGAAGGGGGCGCGCGCGGGCTCCTGGGAGCGCTCGGGGCTCCGCGAAGGGCCACGTCTCGAGCCGGGGCGGCCCACAGGGCCCCCGCCCCTGGATGCCTGGAGGCACCTCGCGCGTGCCCGCGCCCCGTGATGCGCGACGTGAGGGGCAACGAGAGTGAGGGACATCGACCTGGACTCGGCGGCACATCGCGGAGAGATCCGCACTAGGCCCCGACAGCGAAGCCCCACGTTCCTGGGCTGAGGGGTAACGAGAGCGGGGGCCTGGCTCACCGGCAGGGGGATAACATCGACCTGGACTCGGCGACACATCGCGGAGAGGTCCGCATTGGGCCCCGATTGCGAACCCCCAGGATCCTGGGCGGCGCGAGCTATGGGCGACCGAGGGTCGACGCATCCCCCCCGAGCCTATCCCCCCCAGCGCACCTTCGCCGCCTGGCTCGCAGGTCTCCAGAGGGTGTCGGGGACCATCCGGGCACCCCCGGACGCCTCTAGGCGAGCCGCAGCTGCTGGTACGCATTCCTAGGAACAGAGAAAACGGCATGAACATAAACTTTTGGCGCTCCGCGCGGATGTCTTGGATCCGCGCCGGACGCCCCTCCCTGGCGCGCGGAGCGCGCCAGGGGCGGCGCCAGAGGCACCGCCGTGGGGGCCCAGCGCGGATCCGAGAAATCCGCGCGGAGCGCCAGTCTAAAAAAGTTTATGCTTATGGAGCTCTTTCTTCTTCGAATCCCGAGGGCCCACGAAGGCATCCCCCCCGAACCAAAGTATATACACCCCCCCTGGCGTTGCATCTGAATGACGATGACGCCCCCGGGGCCCGAGACGAAGCACGGCGGCGAGCCTCGGGACCCCCCCCTCGCGGGGATCTAAGAAAGGTTATCCCGGACCTCCTCGTCCTCCTCCTCCTCCTCCTCTTCCTCCTCCTCCTTCTTCTCCTTCTCCTGCTCCTCCTCCTCCTCCTCCTCCTCCTCCTCGTCCTCCTCCTCCTCCTCCGCCTCCGCCTCCTCGTCCTCCTCCTCCTCTTCCTCCTCCTCCGCCGCCTCCCCCTTTGCCTTCCAGGGCCCCCTGGACCCCCCCTCGAGAAGGTTTTCTGTTTGCAGGGCCCCTGGAGGCTTTTTGTTGGGGGGAAGGGCTCTGGGGGGGCATGACATCTGAGACCAGGCTGGAGAGGATTCACAGGCACGTCACGAACTGCCCGAGGGCACGGATCTCGCAGCAGCACAGCAGGGCCAGCGATCGTTCGAGCAGGCTCGCGAGCCCCTCCGTCGCAAGGAGACGGACCGCTGGCTTGTCGGAAGCGGCAGGGGAAAGCACAGCTCGGGGCAAAGAGGCTGGACGGGATGCCTCTCACGGCCGCGGCTCACCGAGCTGAGCTGTTTTCTTTGTTTGTTTTTGCACGCACGTCCATGTCCTCCTCCTCCTCCTCCTCCTTCTCCTTCTCTTCCTCCTCCTCCTCCTCCTCCTCCTCCTCCTCCTCCTCCTCCATGTGCACGCGCCTACCACGGGACAAAGAGTGGCACGAGGACCCGAACATACATGTGCCTGAGGTGCGGCGGGCTCGGTCCCATCGCACGAGACTGCAAGCCACTGGCCAAACTTCAGCATTGCCGGAAGTACACACCTCCATCGTCAACACCTCACCGCCGCAAGCGCCCTGCAGCGATCAAGACACGACCGGCAGCGACAAAAACACGATCTACTGCGACCCGGATACGATGTACAGCGATCCGGAGGCGACCTACAGCGATGAAGATACGATCTATTGCGACACAATTGCGAACTACGACGATCAAGATACGATTTACTGCAAACCATTTATGACCTACAGCAATCCGGGTACGACCTACAGCGACACACATACGACCGACTGCGACACAGAAGCGACCTAGAACGACAACTACTATACGACCTAGATGCGATATCGGTCCTCACAGATGCGAGGGACCTTTAAGTGCATGTTGGACTCTGGAGCGACATCGTCGATGATGGGTTCGGAGATGGCCGAAGTGTGGCAGGCCACCATGCTCAGGATTCTGGGCAAAATTGTATGCAGTTGGATCCAGGGCGCCCCAATCACTAAGTCACGCTTCGATCCTATGGTATGTCGATGGCCAGGAGTGCGATTTCCTGGTCTCCATCGTTGAGCTGGAGGCACCTCTTCTGATAGGCACGGACTTCCTTACAAAAGGTTACAGCGACAATAAATATCGAACAAAGCATGATCAAATTCCATGCACTAGGAAGCAATACCTACCTATTCGGAAAGGTCAAGGTGCGGACACTTGCGCTTAGAATTTGGTCCAAATTCAAAACGGAAAAACATTATTCCGCACACCTCGTGTTTCCGGTGCCGACAATTGCTACTTGGGCTCAAGACGGTGCTTCTCATCAGTTCCAGCCGGCCACGAGCAAAGTTTTCCAGCTAACTATATATTCGGATGTCACCATGGGATGGACGAGGCTCGTGTGGCTCATCGTGATAGTGACAGGACTCGGACACACCGGTCAAGGAGTTGACGGCAACGAGGTGCGGCTGCTGCGGAATTCGTCCAGGGACTACGACAGCGGGCTGCAGCTGCACAGGCGGCCGAAGCCACGAGTGCCAAGGACGCCTGCCGCTCGGGTAACCTCCTCTTGTCAAGCCGCCGATGTACACCAAGGAGGTCGACGGGAATAGCAGCTCGAGTGCTGCGGAGGGCCTGGGAGATGCAGAGCGGGCCGCAACTGTGTGGGCGGCAAAGGCCACCTCTGCAGGCGGATCCCAGATCGGATGTCAAGTTCGGTACCTCCTGCTCCTCCTGCTTTATCCTCCTCCTCCTCCTCCTCCTCCTCCTCCTTCCCCCCCTCCTTCTCCCCTTCCCTCCCTCCCTCCCTCCCTCCCTCCCTCATCCTCCCTCCCTCCCTCCCTCCCTCCCTCCCTCCCTCCCTCCCTCCCTCCTCCTCCTCCTCCTCCTCCTCCTCCTCCTCCTCCTCCTCCTCCTCCTCCTCCTCCTCCTCCTCCTCCCCTCCTCCTCCTCCTCCTCCTCCTCCTCCTCCCTCCTCCCTCCTGCCTCCTCCTTCTCCTCCTTCTCCTCCTTCTCCTCCTTCTCCTCCTTCTCCTCCTTCTCCTCCTTCTCCTCCTCCTCCTCCTCCTCGACTTCGAGCCCGGGACACCGACGACGACGACGACGACGACGACGACGACGACGCGCCACCGCCGAAGGTGGAGATCGAGTCGGAGACCATCGATCCCGAGAGAAGGACGGAAGCGAGAATGGGGCTTGCGTCCTTGAGCCGGGGGGAAGGGAGACACTCTCGGAGCACCTCCCGAGGATTCAAGGCCGAGGCGGAGGGCATGACTGTGGATGGGGATCTTCGAAAAAGGGCATTGCGAGCAGCGATGAGACTGACCAGGCAAACCTCAAGTGTCCCAGAGGGCTCAGCCACACGCAGCTCTACGCCCTCATCGGCGGCATCAACAAGTACCAGCAGCTGGCAGCGTTCGAGGCACATGAGCTGCTCAGCGAAGGGCGACTCGACCTGTTGGAGGCGTGCGCGCCCGGAATCTCGACTGGGACAGGCAGTCGAGAGACTGCAGTCAACCAGCATCACAGGGATGCGCGGCAGGGATGCAGGGGCCTCGGAGGACCCTGACGACGTTCTTCGAACAAGGCTGGCCAGCTAAAGTCGCAAAGGATGGGCCGAAGGGGCAAAGGATGCAAGGGTAGCCTTGGGAAGTTGCTCGTCTTTGGAGACCTTTTTTTTTAATCGGCGACAACCTGGGTTATCCAGAGGGGGAGGAGGAGGGGGCCGGCCGATGACCGAACCTTCGAGCTGTGGGCAGCCGTGCATATGCCCGCGTCCCCCCACCCCTGACCTGCACAACCGGCAAGGTTAGGTTATCCGGGGGGGGGGGTGCAAGCCCGATAATCCGAGTTATCGCCGGACCCTCAAACAAAACAGTCTCAAAGGATGCCTTGGACAGTTGCTCGTCCTTGGAAAGGGTGGCCTTGGGAAGTTGCTCGCCCTTGGCGTGCGGGCTGGCTGTAGGCGGAAGGGCAGTGCGGCTCGGCAAGCACAGCGAGCGCGACCCCACGACGACCGCACGGGGCACGGGAGAGCCGGCGAGAGACGCCGAGGCCAGAGCGGCCGCGTCGCGCGGTTCTCTCTCGCACCCGTGCACCAGCCAGGAGACGCCAGAGCAAAGCGAAGGCCCATAGTGCGAGGCGGGGGCTCGTCCGCGTCCACCGCTCGGGAACCGACGCCCTGGCACCCGAGCGGGCGGCGGATATGGATGTAGTATGATATGTTTAAACCCCCCGCGGGGCCCGAATATCTATATCTATATCTATATCTCTATCTCTCTCTCTCTCTCTCTCTATATATATATATATATGTATTATCATACGCACCTCTCCGAGGGAGTAGAGCTCAGAGGCGATTAATGCGTACGCGGCGCGTTCGCGATGTTTCTGGCCGTTTCGCTAGGGACATCCTCGAAATTCTGAAAATCGGTGGCACCCCTCACGCAGATCGTGACGTCAGGGTCCAAAAACACATGGGATCTGCAACATTTTAACGTACAACCTTCAAAAACACATTATTTCAATAATTTTGACCCCGATTCTCAGAGAATGGCGGGTTCGCCTGAAACATCCTCCCAAAATCGAGCCCCGGCGTACCCTCTGGTACCCCAGACCGAGCCTCCTGGGGGCCTCCTGGATGCCTCCTGGGGCCTCCTGGGGCTTTCTGAACCTTCCGGAACCCCAGACCCCGCCTCGGAGCCTCCTGGGGGTCTCCTGAAACCTCCTGGGGCCTCCTGGGGCCTCCTTGGGACCCTGGGAGCCCCAGGAGGCCCCAGAGAGCTCCAGGAGGCCGCAGGACGCCCAGGACAGGCCCCAGGGGTCCGCAGGAGATCCCCAGGAGGCTCCCAGGAGGCCCCAGGAGGCTCCTTATGAGAACGTGTCAAGTTAATACATCCGGTGTCGATTCGTTGATGTTTCCTGCTCTTGTGGCCCCCCTTCCTTCATTTTGATGGGCCCAAGCGGCCACAGGTTAGATATCCCCCCCTGGGAGCCCCAAGAGGCTTCAGGAAGCCCCAGGTGGAGTTCAGGAAGCCACAGGAGGCCCAGGAGGAAGCCCCAGGAGGTCACCAGGCGGCCCCAGGAGGCCCCCGCAACTCGGAGCTCTGAGACGCCACGCTCGAGGTGGTCCG